TATTGCACTTCCCAATCGTGCCAAAAAGAATCATGACTATATTATTGTATTTTTTTAAAATGCCTCAATTATCCCAAGTGTTAATTTAGTCAACAATTGAAGTCATTTTTTCTGTGTCGTTACAATACCAATAAAATGTCAGGTAAATCAAGGTGTTTTGTAGGAAAAGACACTAAAATGTAGTGTTATCTCTACTACTTAAAAAGAGTACGTTCCTTTCCCTGCTACCAGAACACTTTGTCAACCGGATCTCCCTCCTATCACGTTTCTTCATCGGGGGATTTTTCGTTCAACCAGGTTTTTAGTCCCACCACACCTTTTTTCGCACCTTCCCCGTACGCTAATCAACCACCTTAATTTACTTACCATCTACACCAATTTCATTTTAGTTTACTTGCAAACGTTTATTTACACAATCGCGAACAAGATTTGATATACATTTATTTAGACAATCACAGACACGATTTGATAAACATTTATTTATACAATCACATTAATATGAGCAGGTTTTTAAATCACATGCTGGCGTACTAAAATATTTATAGTCTGTTGCAATGCACGAGCATTGTTCTATTAAATGTATAAATGAGAGACCCACAAAAAAGCCTATCCTATTGGAATATATTTACGCATATGTCGCAACAAGCAATTACCTACCAAAAACCTTCACATCGCAAACAGTGGGCTCCAAAACAAGTTTACCTATTCCGCGCGTAGGTCGCCAGGAAGCGCGGAAATGCGTAGCCACCTCACGCTATTTTTTGTATGGGTCGGCCCATTTTCCAATTTCATTTCCACTTGTTTTGGGAAGGTGAAACTTCCCTGAATAGGGTTTTCTTTTCCTTTCGTTTTTTAATTTCTTTTTTCTTTTTCTTTTCCCTTGTTTTTCTTTTTTCTTTCTTCATTTCTTCTTTTTGCCTTTTAATTTATTTTTTGCTATACCTTTTTGTTTTTCAATTTGCGAAAATCTTTCAAACGAGTGAACATTTTTTGAAATTCATGTACATTTTTTGAAATCATGCATATTTTAAAAAAAATTGAACATTTTTCACAAATTTTTGAACATTTTTCTAAATCCTGAACATTTTCGAATTCATGAACTTTTTTTTAAATTGCATACATTGTTTTGTACTCGTGAACACATTTTTGAACCGGCGAATATTTTTTGAAATTTGGGAACAACTTTTGGAATTCCTGCGCTTTTTTTGTTTTTGACGTACATTTTTTGTGTTCATGATTTTTTTAATCTGCGGACATTTTTAGAATTTGGGAACAATTATTGAAATTCTCAAACATTTTTTGAATGTTTTAACATTTCTAGAGATTAATGAACACTTTTTGAAAATGTACGATTTTTACATGATTGTGAACATTTTTAGAAAAATAATGAATATTTTTTGAATCTGTGAGGATCTATCATTTCCCAAGCATTTTCAAATCATTAAAACATTTTTTGCATTCACGAAAAAACAAAAAACAAAGGGGCTTCATGCCCCGCACATGGGCCGGACCATGAGGGCTTCGCCAAGCCCGGTTCCAAAAGACGCGCCTCGGAACTGTAGCCCATCGCCGTCGCGTCGTATACTACAACGGGTTGACCCGGCGCTGCCGTCCAATCCGATCCAAATCTGATTCGGCAAGCGACGCACCAAGCCGATCTCTCTTCTCCCCCCTGCGCTGCATATTCCGCCCCCCAACCAGACCACCACCAACCTGCGACGACGATCCGCACGCAAATCCACCTCGAGAAACCCTAGCTAATCCCGGCCCGGCATGGCCTACGTGGACCACGCCTTCTCCATCACCGACGAGGACGACCTCGTCGGCGGGGCCGTAGGGGGCCCGCGCGGCGCCCCCGTCAAGGAGATCGCCTTCGCCGCCGCCCTCCTCGCCTTCGGGGCCCTCGGCGTCGTCGCCGGCCTCTTCATGGCCGCCAACCAAGTCGGCGGTGACACCGCGCACGGTGAGATCGAATCTCCTTTCGCCCCTCTCCGCCTCCATTTTCTTCTTTCCCTATATGCCTATAAGAAGAATTGGTACTGCCTCTAGGACCCTGAAGTTGCTGCAATTTTCTAACTACTGCTGTATGAGTATCTTAAGAGCTACTTACTGGTAATTCATGGCTAGAAGTAGTATTTCTAAGGTTGTGACTTGTGAGAGAGGAATTGATTGAGGTTTATTTGGCTGAGACATAGTCGACATGTATTTCAGTACAGAGGGAGTAGTATTTACTCCGTAGCTGTTGTTTGGGAGCTGGATAGGTGACTTATTTTAATGGTATATATGAGTATGACCGGGTGTTTGCTGAGAAATATATAGGCATTTGTAAGGCCTTAGGAAATTTTAGGTGTGCGTGAGATGCTTGCGATTTGTGAGGTTTCTGATACTTTGGGCTCAAATTAGGGGTGCTTGTGTTCGAACCGCACAATGTTCATAGTGAAGTGCTCCAGGAAACCCAGCAGTGAGAACTACGGAGATTGGGTACTAAGAGCATCTCATCACCACTACGAAGTGTAGTGTGGATTATAGTTAGGTTATTAAAAAACAATCCCAATATCCCTCTCATCTCTAATATATGTGATCATGGTGTGGCTTTATGGTAGGATGTCAGTTGTACATGTGAAACTGAAAAATAAGATGTTTTGATTTGCAAAGCAAAAGCTTGGAAAGTTTGCTTGCACTTTGACTCTCATTCTAAGTATTGATGCAATATGGATGTTTCAGTAGCACTCATGAAGATATCTGCTTGAATAAACTTTGTCTATAATTGCCGCTGGAATTTTTCCCCTTATTCAAACATCTGCAACTATTTTATTGGAACAGGAATCTTCTTCATGGTTTTGGGCATTGTAATGTTCATCCCTGGATTCTACTACACAAGAATTGCCTACTACGCATACAAAGGATACAAGGGCTTCTCTTTTTCAAACATCCCACCAATCTAAAGAGCAGGTGTTTGCAAACTCGTTCGGGTCCTTCCGTCCAATGGCTCTACTGATAAAGCAAGCAGCCTTGTTGTTCTCGTTGATCGTATGTATACATTCCTTCTGCTTTGTAGAATGAACTACTGGTAGATTTGTGCATATAAATGCTACCATAATCATGTATTATGGTGTAGTGGGCAGAAAGATTGTCAACTGTGTGATTATGTTGAGTTGCTGGAGTGTGCTGCCTCCCATGTCTGAGAGGAAGAACATTGTGTGGAATATGTTACTGTGTAGTAAGATCTTTCGTTGCCTGCATTCTCTGAACTGTTTTCATGCGTTCTCTTTAGCAATCTATGTGTTTCGACCTTCATCTCATCCGAGTAAGATGCCTGAGCCTATTATTCTCTTATTGTGATGGTCATTATCAATTCCAACTGAAGTCAGAGGCACAAAGTTGTCTCTAGTTACTTTGAGAGGTAATATCACTGGTAGTCACTAAACTTGCGTTGAATGTGCAGTTTAGTGCTACAACTTTAAAAATACGAATTTCTGATTAGTTAACTTGTGTTTAGGTTCATATATGGCCATTCTCGTTGACTGCCCGCGTATTTGCCGATGACATGGCATGCCACACAAGCAGAGGCCCACTGTCAGTGACACATGCCGTTTCAAGGAGTCGCATGCGTGGTGTTTTTGCACAGACCTCCCTGCACTTATTTTTTTTTGCACAAAAATGTCCTTGCTGACAGTGGCCCCACCAAAACCCGGTCACCAGCGTGTTTATATAGCGTGCGTCGAGGGCGGGAAATAACACTGTGGCGAGCGGGCTAATGGCGGGAAATGGCTTTGGAAGAAGTACTGGATGGCGGGAATGAGCTTGCGAAAGCGGGAGTAGTCACGGGTGTCGCCGGCGCGTATCTCTTACATCTGTCAAACGTACGGGCGGCGGAGCAAAGGAAAGAGATGGTACAAATAGTTGGTACAAAAGACTTGAGTACACATAACTGAACAAATTAGTCTCACTGCCTGAGTGGCTAGATGGTGTGGTTGTTGCTAGCACGGTCTGGGTTCGAATCCCAGGCCACTCATTTCTTTGGTTTATGACTGAACATATCTGCAGAATGTATTTGAGCATAAAAATGTCAGTAAAACAATGAAAAAAGCAGGCCACTTTTTTGGGCATATGACAGTAAGCATATGTGCAGACTCAGTTTAGCTTATGGCTATGAACATATCTGCAGAATGTATTTGAGCATAAAAATCTCAGTAAAACAATTCAAAAAGCAGGCCACTCTTTTTGGGCATATAGCAGAAAAATATGTGCAGACTCAATTTAGCTTATGGCTGTGAACATATCTGTAGAATGTATTTGAGCATAAAAATCTCAGTAAAACAATTCAAAAAGCAGGCCACTCTTTTTGGGCATATGACAGAAAACATATGTGCAGACTGATTTTGGGCATATGATAGTAAACATATGTGCAAACTGATTTTGGGCATATGACAGTAAACATATGTCATAGCTCCAAACTGGGAGAAGTAGCGAACAAAATCCATACTAAACAGGGAAATTAGTACTGACAAAAGCATGGTTCATTTGTCATGTAAACCTAAGCAGAACAAGGTCTTTTTTCCTGATTTACCCCAACGAAAGGAGCAGTTCATTCATGAACTATTCTACACAAAAGTTCATTCATGAACTTCATCACTTGGTCATCCAACTACAGAGATAGGAAATCATGCATGTCCTGAGGCCAGCCATCTCCAAACAGGCCATCTTGGGGTGCATTTTGGCTCACAAATACCTCTTCTTCTCCCTGCATAAAAAGTGGTGGTTGCTGGCTGCTTTGTCCATCATTTCCAAAAAGCAAGTTGTAGAATCCTGGAGCAGCAGCCCTTGCTCCTCAGGGAGGATTACTTCCACTTGGGTAATTGCCACCTCTAGTTGCACTTGGAGCAGTTCCTCCCCTTGTTGCATTGCTTACTATTCTGCCTCCCCTTGTTGCATTGCTTGCACTTCTTCCTCCCCTTCTTGCATTGGTACCACTTCTACCACCCCTTGTTGCATTTCTTGCACTTCTTCCTCCTCGTGTTGCATTGCTTCCACTTGTTCCTCCTCTCACCCTGCCCCTGGACATGGCTGTTGTCACCCTGCCTATAAGGATTGTGTCCCTAGCATTAGCAATAAAGCTAGACTCAGGCAGGGGACCAAAGTCCATAGGTGCAGGGTATGTAAATTTTTCCTGCCAATATAGTTAACAGATAACATATCATATGAGCAATTGTTAATTCAGAAAAAAAAATCCAAAAAGAACCAACACTGCATATTTTACCCTTTCCTGCATCTTGTAAACCATAGAATCTGGAGTTTGTGTTGGATCAAACTGTGGGTAAACTCTGTGTGGCATAATGTTCTACAGAAGTACAAGTAATATATCAATGCACAGAAGTACAAGTAATATATCAATGTACAAGAAAAGATGTAAGAAACTTACAGCAATTATGCTTGGATCATCGTATTCTTCTTCTGATTCCCCAGGTGCTTCCTCGGTAGGTGGTTGATTCACGTGTTTGTAATGCCCTTTCTTGTTATGATCAGCGCCCCCACAAACAGAGCAATGCATGCTAACACCATGCTTGGTCAACTTCCTAACTCCTTTCTTATCCTTCTTCTCCTCTGGATCTTTTTTCCTACTTTTCTTGGGCCTGCCCATTACTTTGGTGTATATGGGTGGAAAAACAGGATTGCCATGCATCTTTTCCCATTCCTCTGGATCCCTCATTGGCCTCATATTGAAGCCATAACACTTCTTGTACTCCTCAACAGTGTAGCATGAATGGACCATGCTCTCAGGCTCAATTCTCTCATGCCTAAAACAAGCAATTGCATGATGACAAGGTATACCAGACAATTCCCACCTTTTGCAGTTACAGCTCAACATGTTCAGATCAACAATGTAAGTGTTGTTTAATGAGATAACCTGGAATACACCTCTTCCATACTCCCTCACCCTGCAATTTTTTGCCCACTCAACATACTTGTCCAGCTTCTTCTGTATCTTGGGGCAAAGCCTGCCTGTCCACTTTTCTGCCTCCCTTGCTTACCAACCATCCTATTTGAAATCTTCCAGAAGATGTAATCCAGCATTGATTTAATTGGCAACTCTCTACCATCCAAAATGTAGCTGCAAATTTGCACAAATATGTGTTCACACAATCAATGAAAGCAAATGCAACAGAAATCAAGCAATACATCATACTTGCAAACAGTGAAACTAACCTGTTAAACACCTCACACATGTTATTCAGCAATATATCACACTTGCAGAAAGGGTCAAAGAAAGCTTTGATCCAAGTTCTTGGGGACAAGTTCTCAACCCAATTGAATGCTGTAAAGCTGTGATCTCTCATCTTATCCATGTTTCTGGTGTAGGCAGCTTCATTAGTGGATCTTGCTATGGCCCAGAGGTCATTCTTCAGTTGTTCACCCTTGTGTACTTTGTGGAAATTTTGGTAAATGTGCCTAACATAGTTCCTATGTTCTGAATCAGGGAAAAGTTTCTTCACAGCATTCGTCAAACCCTACAACAACATAAACATCACTTAACATATAATGATATTCTGTCGAGCTATTGAGCTAAAATCGAGCGAGCCAACATTGGCTCAAGATCGGCTTGTTTCTTAGTCGAGCTACATAAAGTGTTCAAACTCAGCTCGTTTCTTTTCGAGTCGATCTCGAGCGGTTCACGAGCCTCGAGCTTTTCTTGCATCCTAGTTCTAGAACTTTGGAATAGAACATTTTACAAATAAAAGAACAAAAAAACTATGACTCACCTTCTGTCTGCCACTCATAATGGTGAATGTTGATGTATTGATTATATTCAGGTCATCCTTCAAAGAGGCTAGAAACCACTCCCAACTGTGTGTTGACTCCACTTCACATATGCCAAATGCTATAGGGAAGATACAATCATTTGGATCAATCCCAACTGCTGTCAATATATTCCCCTTATATCTTGTTTTGATGTGACAACCAACTCCAGTAATCAAAACATCATCATCTGATGACTGCAAAGTTTCACCATGATCTACTACAAGCAGTAGGTTCTTGTGCTCTATTGTTGCAATAATCATAAGAACAATATCTGCATCACATTGCATAAGCTTAAGCCCATCAGCAACGGTCTTCCCTAGTTGGCACCAATACACATCTAATTTGGAGGCTTCCATGTCATGTCCCAGTTGTGAAAGAAAATCCTTGATCCATAACATTGACCATGTGTCACTCTCACACATGTCAAACCAGTCAACCTCATAATCCATGTAAGTCTTGTTGCTCTCACTCCCACAGAAGAAACCCTTGTGGTGGATCTGAACACTAAACAAGCCATCAAAATCACCTGCATTGTGAAAATAAAAAAAATTCAGTAAGTAGGGTACGTCAAATTTACTGAAGAAAAATTCAGTTAACAAGTAAATAAGTACAACACAAGTTCAACAGCTAATTATCCATTACAGTACACATTTTGAGTACATTTTCAGTACACGCATTCAGCAGCTAATTATCCATTACAGTACCAATAGAGCACACAATCTTAAAAAAACAGAGTACACGCATTCAGTGTCAAAAAAATTCAGTTAACTGCATGCAGTTTCTGAAATTCAGAGTACACACATTTAGTGTCAAAAAATTCAGTTAACTGCATGCAGTTTCTGAAATTCAGAGTAAACACACTTAGTGTCAAAAATTTCAGTAACTGCATGCACTTTCTGAAATTCAGAAGTTCAGTTAACTTCTTGCCCTTCCTAGTACAAACATCAGACATTTGTCAACTATATAATCTAACCAAACAGGGGACCTAGACCTTCCTGAACCCTAGTTCGATTTGCAAACAGCGGGCCTGGACCTTCAAAATCCAATCCGTCCTTTCAAGATCGGTTAAGAACAGCGCGTCCATACGAGAAACTATCAAAGATAATGGCCATAACACATGAACCCTAGATACGCGAAACGGGGC